AAAAAAAAAAAAAAAAAAAGATGATAGTTGTAGGCTCGTCCTTCCAACACCACATAATCAGGGCCCCCACTCACCCACTCGGGCGATTCTCTTTTAAAAAAAATAATAAATAAAATAAAAAATTACAGTTGTAGGCTCGTCCTTCCAACACCACATAATCAGGGCTCCCGACTTTTTTGAGTTCGACTCCTCGCTGCTCCCACTGATGAAGCTCCAAGCTGCGGTCAGGGAATTCCGGACGTACTGGCAATCAAAAAGACTATCTAAGGGGAAGAAAGCACTGTAGAATGGTTCAATGAACGGGAGGGGTGACTAACCCCTTTTTTTTTTTTTTTTTTGAAAGCCACTACGTCGTTCCTCCAGTTTGAGTTGAGAAACCTCTTTGTTCCTTTGCAACCGGCATTCCTTCTTTTTTTTTTTTTTTTTTTTTTTTTTGAAAGCCTCCCTGTTTATACACACATATTCTGCTATTAGCCTATTACTGAAATTGAGACATGTTCCAATAAACTCTCACTGTCTACCTAACTCTCTAGAGAGGGAACTCGAGCAGTGTTGAACATATGTTGAACATTTAAAAAAAAAAAAAAAAAAAAAAAACATATGTTGAAGATCTGTCTCTTATACACATCTAGATGTGTATAAGAGACAGACCTAACTCTCTAGAGAGGGAACTCGAGCAGTGTTGAACATATGTTGAACATTTAAAAAAAAAAAAAAAAAAAAAAAAACATATGTTGAAGATAGGCTTGTTGAAATATTGTTGAACAGACTGGGGCCATCACAAGGCAGGTGGGTTTCGCTCAACGTAAGTGCAGAGGACAATATATTTTATACAATGTTAGTATACGTATTGTATACGTATTGTGTGAGCTACCACAACGACTGGCCTTTCTCTTGGCAATGTAAGAAATCCTGCCCTGCGACGCACCAATAATACCGATGGGAGAGCTCAACATCACGTTAGACCCAGCAATCGACAGGGTCTCCTCTTCCCATGGAGCCGCCGCTAACCAGGGAGACCCGAGCCCCGACGCATCACTCCTAGCTAGGATCAAGGCCGGCAATCAACTGGAAAACGCGTTTAGAACCCTGAACCCGTCCCAACGAGCCTAAACTTGTTTGAGATCGAGGAGTGAGCCCAGTCTGTCAAACTCTAGGATAGACCTCTCCACTCATCTCAGCTGATCTTCTGCTCTTACCAGCACCCCTAGCACCCACTCGGGCCATTC